TCTTTCCCTAGCGGCAATATTGGTGTTTGCTGTGCTTTTCACTGATCATTAACGTAATTTGCATACCATATGCTATGTTTTTCAATGGTCGTTAATGTCGTGTCTAGTGATTGCCGAACTTCCTCTAACCTAACTCCTCATGTTATGTCTCAATTTGAACTTGTATTATAGCATACCGTGACAATGGATCTCCGCAAATTATTGGGATAATCCATAACGTGAGCTTGTACATCGATGCCTAGGTCATTTATGTTAAACGACTAATTCATGCTAAATCCAAAAAAATAAATTAGATGACTCCGCCCTCAGTCAAAATGAACACTGAAACAGAGCAAAATTTGTAAAACATTTGTTTAAATTCGAATTCGGCGACAATTGGTATCTGCAAATTGCAAGTCATTCATACAAGTCTATCCCAAGATATCCACCATCACGTGTTTATGGAAAATGATATATAGAATTTAATGTTAATTTAAAAGAATAATACAATTAATTTTACTTACACTTTAATCAAATATGTATAAATATAATACACATCACTCATGAAAACTAAACATGAATCCAAATGGAATGGGAAGACAACAGTGCTGGCAACACTTGCTTTCCATTGCACAGTTAACAGAGTCCGTCAGAAGTCTTGCATTACTTGCGTTAAAAAAACAAGTTTAATATTATACAGAATCATATAGATAAACTCCATAATACTATCGTTGACGAGTAACATTGTTGAAATGAAGAGTAACATTTTAGAATAGTCGATTAATCCTAAGAAAAGACTGCCCACTGTTAGGTTGGATGATTTTTATAAAAAAGTCTGGCAGAATATTTAAGGAGAATTTTGAAGAATTAAAAGGCAAACTCCCGTTACATTTTTACCCTCTCAATTTAAGAGGTTCTAGTGAAATTTGGGAGACACGCATGTAAACAAATAAAGAATTATGCAATTTATATATACTTGAATGAATTTGCTGGAACCTCTCCATATTCAACTATAACTCAATATAATTTCAATAATAATGAATTATACATCTACCAATACTCCCCTGTATTAGACTATATTAAAGCACTAAGAAGTCACTGCATTGTACAAGGATTATTGTCTCTGATTTCTAAATAAACCAAAGAAAACTTTTAAAATGACTCAAAGTGTGAATTGAAGCAGTAGCAGATCTAGCCAAGGTTGGAATTGAAGCATCCGGATAAACACCAAGAAGAAAATCAACTAAAACATATGCCTGCAAAATAAACACAAACAAAATAAAGCATGCAGCACAACTTATTTTCCAACCACATAACTATAATTAAATAACCTCTCTTTCACACAAGTGTATCTCATAACTAATGAATCTATAACCTTCAAACACTCCACAAATTCTCATAGATCCTATTATAGCAGAAACTAGGGTTTCCCACGTTGAAAAAATGGAAAATGAAATCATTCAGAACCGATTAACACTACGTTCGTCAGACGATGTATGGAATGAGAGAGACAACAGAGTACTGACTGAATCAGCAAAACCCCTTTGACTTCTCTCACTCCATACACCTCTGCCAAACACTGCGTTAAGATAAAGCCAGCTTCGGAAAGAATCTCAGTTCAGGTTTTAATGAGGCTCAGATTTGGCACAACGATGAAGCCGGTAGCCGAAAAACAACGCCGCCATGGATGGCTGCAACGAAACCAAAGTTGCCGCGCCACCGGCGAGCGACGCTTAACGGCGAGCGACACATCGGACCCACACTCCGAAACCATCTTCACAGCCTCTACGGGTCGAGAAAGAGAGAGAGAGAGAGAGAGAGAGAGAGAGAAGAAAAACAGCGAGTAAATCGCAGAAAAGGAAAAAGAAAGATCCGAAGGAACATGCATCATGGCATAGCGCAAAGAGAGAGAGAGAGAGATAGAAGTATATTGATTATTATTATTATTAATATTAATATTGAGAAAAAAAGGAGGTGTATATATATACATCAGAAGCCATGAGATTAGGGTTTTAGGATCATCAAAGAGAGATCTCGCTCAGAAATGGAGTGTGGCGATAGAAACCCTAATCTGCTCAAACCTTCGCAGTAGTGAAGCTTATATAGGGGACTCAAGTAGGGTATGTTTCGCCTTTTCCAATTTCGCCTTGCTCGTAATTTCCGTGTGAGGCTAATGATGAATGGTATTTTAGTCATTGGCCATTCTGGATTTGGGCCTTACAAGTTTGGGCTGTCTGCATCCCTCGAATAAAATTACCAAATTTTATTTTACAAAAATAAATACATTTTGGTGTCAAATAAATAAATATATACATTTTTAATATTTTATGATTAGATGAAATTAATATACAAAATTAACCTTAAATTTTTATTTACTAATTTTGTGATCCTTAATCATTTTTTTTTGTGAAATTTTATTCCTTATTAGGAAATGTATTGGATAAATATATTACTAACTAATACTTTTTTCTTAAAAAAAAACTTCTCATAATAATTTTGATATGTAATGCATGTAATGCTAGTTTATTTTAATACGGTCTCGCATTATAAAGCTCAAGAAATACGGGAGAAAATTCATAAAGGTAAGTCATTATATTCATTGATAGGAAAAGGATGATGTTACGAGAAAAATTACATGTATTTAGGTTAGTTCATATTTGAGTGAAAATTTAATTTGAGTTAATTAAATTTAATTAATTTGAATTGATTTAGATTTCAAATTTTTTTTTACTTAACTTAATTTGAACTAATTTAATGTTAAATACGTTGGTTTGGTTTGGGACATCAAATATCTAATGATTTAAAAAAATGTATAGATTTTTTTTCTTCTTCAAAGTAAATAGATTTTTCAAAATTAAATAAAATGATATATTGCCAAAAATAAACTAAAGTGTATAAAAATAACACTCAGTATATTGCAAAATAGTTTCTCCTCCTTTCTTTTAAGTATTTGAGTAAAGGAATGAAAAAGAAAATCTATATATTATAATGTAAAAATGTCTTCAAAATAATAAAAATTAATGATTTTTGTATATTAATTGTTAACCAAATAAAAAATAATATATATATTAATTTATTTGGTTCAAATTTTAAATGTGTAAATTTGATACCTAAATCAATCTACACAAGTTTAATTGGTTTTGTTTATGATTGGACCCAAACAAAAAAAAAATCTAAACTAATTTAACTAGTTTAGTTTGAATTGTTAGATTTGTTAGATTGATTCGACCTGACGAACATCCCAACATGTATTTATAAAAAGTATAGTGGAAGTTAACTCATATCAAATAGCTAAACTTATTTACCATGACAAATTGACTAACAAGGTAACAAACACAACACACTAAACCATGAAAATTAGCCTAGTGATTGAGGAAATGATTGAGATAGAAATATAAAAACTTAAGTTCAATCTCCATGATGACCATCTCTATAATCCTACCTATGGATAAAAAAGAAAACAACAAATTAATGTCCTGTAACACTTTTTTGCGATTTGGTTGTGACAATGAAGAATATCATGACAAACTTGAGTATAACACACTTAAATTTAGATGAAATTTTATTTTGTTCAAATAAAATTAGTTTACAAATTTATTAGTTATAATGAGACTCGTACATAGTTCATTAATGTTTTTTTATCGGTGAGAAACAAACACAAAACAAAGATGAAGGTAAACAATTATAGAAAAGGTGGAGCCAAAGGCATCCGCCATAAGCAAAAGTTGAAGAGAAGTAGGACACTGGTTGTGAACAACAATTGAAGAACTAAAAGTTGCATCAAGCTTTGCTAGCCGATCAACATAAGCATTGGTTTCTCTGTAGGCATGAATGAAGGTGACCTGTCAAGGACGAGTCAATATAGCTTAGATTCGAGAGGCCACAAGTTCATTGGGATTAGTCATAGTAACACCCTTTTGAATGAGACGAAGGGCAGATTTCAAGATAAGTAGGGTATCCATTGTCCCAAGCAAGTTGTAAACCATGCAAAGTTGTAAGGAGTTATGCATTTAAACAATAGGAGAATCCACATGAACCAGAAAATCCGAAAAGTCAAGTTCCATCACAATCTTTAAATAGACCATTAAAGTCAACACGACCAGGATTGTCTAAAGAGTTTCCATCAACGTTAAGCTTGATAGAGGTTACACTAAGAAGTTGTCTAAAGAGTTGAACATTAACATACAAAATTTAAATATAACAAACAATATATCTCAAGATCTAAATAACACACAATAAATATTAATTTTTAGAGTAATCACAAATAGTTTTTTAAAATTAAATATTTAAATTTTAAATTAATAATAATAGCAATTAAATTTAAAGGTATTTTTAAAAAAAATATATACAACACATAAATAAGGAAAACAAATTTTAGAAGTTATAGCAAAATACTTGTAATGTATGTGTATATAATTTATATCTATATTAATAATAAAGGGAACATCCCTTTTAATAAAAATATTTCCTGCATTTTGTTCGTATAATTATCTCTTTCGTATATTTTTTATTGTTTTTTTTTCCTCTCATCTCAATTTCACATAAACTTCTTATGCCAACTTTTCACTCTCTTTTAAGTAATACTAGTATATGTCAAGTTTCCACTCTCTTTTAAGTAATACTGGTATATAATGGTGATACACTCTTATTCTGTATACACATTTTAAAAATATTTTAATCCTAATAATTACTCTCAAATCACTCTCTCAAATCTCAACTACAAACGAACTGCAAATGGCTTACTATTACTTAACAACTTTTATTTTTATTTATTTTTATCTTGTTTTACTCCTAAAACAGTAAACCACTTCTACCCACTCTGTCTCTCACTGTCATTTTTTTATATTTAAATCTTGCTCTCCTAAAAGGCTAAAACTACTTCTAACCCACTGTCTCTCACTCTCATTATTTATTTTTTAAATCACATATATTTTACCCTCTAAACCATCTTACTTTTGAAGTAACCACGAACCCAATTATCTTTATTTTTTTATGTAAATGTAATTGTATAACTTTTTTGTTTATATAATATGTTTCACAAGAAGTAATCATGTCTAAATAAAGTAAAACTAAAAATCCTCCTTCCAAGAGAAATTGTTTATGCGAGTTTGGAAACTGCCATAACTTTTTTTTTTAATATATACTCACAGTTTAGAACACAATTGTATTTATATATATATATATATGAAGAGAGATCCTTTTACTCTAGGAGTAAGTCTACCGTTTAATAACTCGTATTCTACATCAAATTTTAATAATCCAACCGTTCAATTTAAAGTCCTTAATACATAGATTAAATCTGCAAATTTATAAAAATTTTGAAAATCATTTAATACTTCATTTCATTAATCTGAATCAATGTATAAAATAATTTTATGATTATCCGTCAATTTGAATTAATAAAATGAAGTATTAAATAATTTTCAAATTTTCTAAAAATTTACAAATCTGATTTATCCATTAAGAACTTTAAATTGAATGGTTGGATCGTTAATATGAGTTATTGAACAGTATACTTACTTCTAGAGTAAAAAAATCCTCTCTTTATCTCTATATATATAATAAAAAAATCAATCAGAATTTTTTTCCTATTTCTCTCTCCAACGACTTATACATAAAAAAAATGCAAAATAGATACAGAATAATAATTTTATCGCATTTTTAGCTGAAGCCTGCTTGCCCCCACAAAATATGATTTTCAGGGCTTCTTAAAAGTTTTTTTTTATGGAAGATACAAAACATTGCGAGAACTGATAGCAGAACTTGACGAAAATGTGAACAAAAATAGGAATTAACTGATATCTGCCCGGTCAAGCATATCCACTAGGGTCATCCTTCTTGGAAACCTTGGTGGAAGCCTCAAGATCATGGGATCATCTATCTGAATGGGTAGATGGGTCGCCACAATCACAATTCCTCCATGTTTCCTATGTTCTGCAATGATATACTCAAGTAACTTCACACCATCATCATCTAGTGCAACTGAAGGCTCATCTAACAACCATATGGGGCGATCAATTGCAAGCAATCTGGCAAGTTGCAATCTCTTCCGCTGGCCCATAGATAGCATCCTTGGTTTTTCATTGGCTAATCTTCCTAGTCCCATCAACTCAAGTGCAGGCAAAGCCTTCCCTTCCTTGCTTTCAAGAAGTTCAAACCATTGTACATTGTTAAGAACCGTAAATTTATCATTAATGGCATCCTTGAGAGAGAGCCAATTAAGCTGAAGCTTATACTGATGGAATATTGCAGATTCTTGAATGTTATGACCATTCCAAAGGATTTCACCCGCGGAAGGACGGGAAAACCCAGCTAACATGCGCAAGAAAGTTGTCTTTCCCGAGCCATTTGCACCTGTTAGCACAAGTGCCCCACCATCATGGATAGAGACATTCACATGACGCAGAACTTGCTGGGCATTTCTCATGCAAGACACATTGTTGAGGAGGAGACGAGGGAATGGGGATCTTCTAATAGACATAGTGTTTAACACTTGAAAAAAGAAAACTACTGCACATCTAAATTAATGCTTTCCGAGCCTTGGATTTCAATTGATGATGCAATTAGGACAAGTCACAGAGCATTTCCAGCATGAAGCCTACTGTAAAATAGAAGAAAAAAGGACAAATAGTAAGAGAGCAATTTTTCTGGTATACTGAAGACTGAAGAGTGACTCAATCTTAACTACTTAAGACCTATGTTATCATTATGCAAAAACACCTCATAAAAACACTACCAAAATTACTTCTGATCAAGCATTTTCATCGGTCCCAAATAAAGGTGCACCTTGGGGGTGAGAGTAGCATGATAAAATCATAAAACTGTTTCACCCCCACTAAACAAACATCTCCACACTACAGTCATCAATGAGTCAGCCTGCCACATTCAACCCTAGCCCGTGTGGGCCATGGCCAAAAGGCTCACAATGCCAAAAGCACGTAGGGCCAAAAGTAAATAGGACTAAAAAGTCTACAGGGTAATGTAGGTTAGAGCCAGCCCACTATGATTTAAAAAAAAAAATAGCCCACCTCTCAAGTAGGCTGGCCGTAGCCCACCCATGGACCATCCAGTAGTCATTATTTTAGAGGGATATTTTTAAAAACAAGGAATTCTCTTTTAATTTCCTTCTTAAATGCTGTAAGGAGTCGAACCTTCTATGGGAAGGAAGGTGTATGAAATGGGATTACAATATAAGCACGACAATATGCAGCAAGTTGCAAATAACAATATAAGATAGCATACCACTTAAAGCCAGAGAAAACAATAGATAACGAGACATAAATATATAGGCTTTTCATTTCAATGCATAAGTCATGCTACAGTGTACTAGCTGTTGGACCCTCATTTATCTGATCACTCGATGCAAAAGTTCAATGACTGAATATATAGGTTTTTCCTTTTCAGTTAATAAATAAATAAAGTATGACTATAAATCCATACTACACGCAATGCATAGGATGTCTTAAATATCTTATTTCTTATTTATCAAATGTATATCTATGCACACAAACACCAAATTAAGATAAACGCTAAAATAATATGTCAAGTTAAAAAAAACACCAAATGAAGATATATTTATTAAATATCTCAGTTCAATTTCACATGCTTTGCTTCTCAACTGAAAACCCACAGTAGATTGTCAAACTGATATTATCAAGTCATCAAGCAGATCAAATTAGAACCCTATTCAGCTATAAATATTTGAGGATTCCTTTGGTGCCCCTTCTAAGCAGGGGGTTTCGGTGCCCTTTCTCTTTTCTATCCATTGACGTAGTGACACGTGTATTAGTTGAACACGTCATCATGCCACTCTCAGCTTCAGCTCCTGGATCTTCGTCATCAGGTTGCCGCGCACCGTTCCATGGGCCGAATCGCGGATTCAATCGCCAAGCTCATGCTCACCTTGTCATCACAGGCTCCCACCGCAACCGTGCTCTCCTCACCAAGCTCCTCACGCTATCCTGCGCTGCCGATTCCATCGCCTACACTCGCAGACTCTTCAGCTCCCTCACCCACCCAAATCCTTTTCTCTTCAATTCCCTCATCAAAGCCTCTTCAAAATTTGGTTTTTCCCTTAACGCCGTCGTTTTCTACCGCCGCATGCTCCTCTCTGGCATTGCCCCTTCCTCCTACACCTTCACCTCCATCATCAAGGCATGCGCCGATCTTTCCCTTCTTCGACTCGAGACCCTCGTTCATTCCCACATTCTCGTTAATGGGTATTCCTCGGCGATTGAATCCGTGATTCGGCCCGCAAAGCAATGCTCCGCAACTCTGTGTATGTAGCACCCCGCCAGTAAGCCTTGCGGGGCGCCGTGCTGGCCTTCAACGATTTTGGAGAAGTGGCCGATGGCCTTCAAGTGGAGCCCCGCATCTAGGGCAGCCAGCATGGCGGTGCAGTGCTGAAGAAGGAGCATTATGTGGGCTAGGAGCTGGGTCACAGTTTCAGACTCCGGTCTCCGGGGGTGGGGTGGCAGTAGGCGTGGTGTTGCCGATTGTCGAAATCTACTGTTCGAAGCAAAACAAACTCGTCCCAGCGATGAAGATCCAAGAGTTGAAGCAGAGAGTGGCATGATGATGTGTCCGGTCAACAATTCAAATGGCATCATGACATGTCCAACTAATACATGTGTTACTATGTCAATGGATAGAAAAGAGAAGGGCACGGAAACCCACTACTTAGAAGGAGCACCGAAGGAATCCTCTAAATATTTAGTGGTAGATAAAAAGACAAGTAACTCCTATCGATTTAAAAAGTGTGATGCTGAATGAAAAAGAAAAGCCACAAGTAATTTGAAAACTGAAAGTGAATATGATGTGCAGAATTCACAAACAGAATAATATTCCCTCTTCAAGTAACAATTACTGAAAAAATCTGTCATTTTACTAATTTTTATTCCTCCCGATGACAGACAATGCCAATAAGACACAAAAAAAACCTTAAAAAACTAACTTGATAAACAGAATCACCCAACCTTTCCATGCTTGACCGAATAACAATGTACAAGCAACTCACTGCTCTGTCTTTATAAAATGAGGAGCTGACAGTTTGTACTAGTGAAGTTAATAAGAAACTATTACATACTCCAAAACTAGTTAGGCTCTATTACTTATATTTCAACTTTCAACACGTGAGCTGCTCCTACACATTTCTATTTAACCATTATTGATTTACGTATACAGACATAACATTTATTATAATAATAACAATATTTTCATCATCTAGGGTGATCAGAAGCATGCATTATGTCTTTTCCAAAAGAAAACCACCTTTTATCTTTAGAAAAGATACACAGATTTAGCAGCAACGCAAAGGGTCATCACAACAAAGTTGGCGTTTTTTTTCTCTTTTCATCATTTTATTTGATTGCTAATAAGCACCCAATCATCCACCATCCAATGACCTCTCAGTCTCACATTCACATCACAAACTCTTACAAGAAATTCAACATTTTAAAAACCAACGATTTTTCTTTCATATAAAAAAAAAATCAACACAAATTTGTGGCAGCTAAACATAAAGTACAAGTGAAATTTAATAAAAAAATGATTTAACCAGAATTGGGTTTGGGGGTCGGTTACGTGTAGAAGCACCCCTACAACACCCTTAATTGGTACCCTATAATGAAGTTAATATTATAAATGATAATAATATAGATATTAAATCTCCTTTTATTAATAATTATTTACATGCTTGAAATTTAAATTATACAATTAATCTTAAAATGTCTACATGATTATTTTTATTATAACAATATTTATTATAGAGAAATAAATAAAAAAGGAGAAAGAGATTAACTGAAATACCTCTTGAATGAGCTCTATTAAATCTTCAAAAAAGGAAGATTTTAGGTGCTTTGTGACAACTTTTCACACTACAATGCCTCACAAAATCTCAAGAAATACAAAAGAGAGGGGAGAGAGAAAAAGAGAAATTTCGTGCTCTAAGGAGTCTGGACGAAATTTTGGAGTCCTGAGAAATGAGCCCAAACAGTCTATTTATAGACTTCAGAAAGGGTCCAGAACGGCCCGTTCCAAAATTGGAACGGCCCGTTCTGGATCTGGCCGTTATGTGCAAAATTTCATAACTGGAACGACCCGTTCTGAAATTGGAACGGCCCGTTCCAGAGATAAGATTAACATACAAATTGCTGGACTAGAACGGGCGTTCCAATCTAGGATTTTTAGGCCATTTTATTAACTTGGAACGGCCCGTTCTAGTTTTGGAACTGCCCGTTCCAGTTAAGATTTTAACCCTTTTTTGACGTTCCAAACTTGGAACAGCCCGTTCCAATATAGGAACGGCCCGTTCCAAATTAGGGTTATTGGCTCTTTTAGGAACTTGGAACGACCCGTTCCAAATTGGGAACGGCCCGTTCCGATTTTGGAACAGCCCGTTCCAGTCTTCTAAAATTAGCTTATTTGGGCTTTTGGGCCTTCTAAAGTCCTATCTTGTTGTTTGCGTGCTTCGGGAGCTCCTTCCCTTCGTAACAGAGGTCTATTCCCTTGTTTGTATGCCCCGGGCGAAATTAGGTGTCTACAACTACCATTACTAGTGATTTCTTGGAGATGGTGAAGCAAAAACAAGTTCAGGATACGAGATTGAATAAGGTTAGAGAGTTGTTGGGTTTTGAGAAAGCTGAAGGATTTGAACAAGATATGGATGGAGTTTTGAGGTACAAGGGTAGAATTTGTATTCCACAAGATAAAGAGTTGAAGAAGTTGATACTTGAGGAAGGTCATAAGAGCAAGTTGAGTGTACATCCGGGTATGACAAAAATGTATCAAGATTTGAAGAAAATGTTTTCGTGAAATGGTATGAAGAGGGAGATAGCCGAGTATGTTGCATCTTGCATTGTGTGTCAGAAAGCTAAAGTAGAACATAAAAAACCAGGAGGTTTGTTACAAATGATGGAATTGCCATAATGAAAATGGGATAATATAACCATGGATTTTGTTGTTGGATTACCAAGGTCTGCTAAGAATTGTGATTCTATTTGGGTGATCGTGGATAGATTAACTAAGTGTGCTCATTTTCTTCCAGTAAATATAAAGTGGTCCTAGGAAAAGTTAACTCGGTTGTATGTTAAGGAGATTGTTAGATTACATGGTGTGCCCTCCAGTATCATCTCTGATAGGGATCCTCGTTTTACTTCTCGATTTTGGCAGAGTTTGCATCAGGCGTTAGGGACTAAGTTGAGACTCAGTTTTGCTTACCACCCACAGACTGATGGACAGTCTGAAAGGACTATCCAATCTTTGGAGGACTTGTTGAGGGCTTGTATTTTGGATCATCTAGGGAATTGGGAAGAGATGTTGCCTTTGGTCGAGTTCACTTATAATAACAGTTTTCATGCAAGTATAGGAATGACACCATTTGAGGCTCTGTATGGGAGGAAGTGTCGAACACCTTTATGTTGGTTTAAAGAGGGAGAATCAATGATGGTGGGGCCAGAGATCATCTTACAGACTACTGAAAAGGTGAAACAAATTCAGGAAAGAATGAGAGCTGCTCAGAGTCGGCAAAAGTCTTATGCAGACAAGAGGAGGAAACCTTTGGAGTTTTTAGAGGGAGAACATGTATTTTTGAAGGTAACTGCTACCACAGGTGTGGGAAGAGCTATCGAAGCTAAGAAGTTGAATCCTAAGTTTATTGGGTCGTATCAAATTCTCAAGAGGATTGGACCAATGGCATATCAGATTGCATTATCTCCATTCCTGTCTAATCTGCATGATGTGTTCCATGTTTCACAACTGATGAAGTATATTCACGATCTGAGTCATGTCTTGGAATCAGAGGCAGTGCAAATTAAGGAGAATTTAACTTTTGAGAAACAGTCAGTTTCAGTGATAGATAAGAAAGTTAAACAATTGCGGGGTAAATCTATCAATTTGGTAAAAGTTATTTGGGATGAGGTTACTAATGAAGCCACTTGAGAGTTGGAAGATAGGATGAAGGATCAATACCCATATCTCTTTTTAAGTAAGTGAATTTTCGAGGATGAAAATTTTTGTTGTTAGGGAGAATTGTAATACCATTTTTTTTATTATTATTTATTAATGGCATTTTCGTAATTTTTTTTAAGGTATAGGGTGTTTTGGTAACTTGGAATGGGCTGTTCCAAAAGCGGAACGGGCCGTTCCAAGCACCAAAAGTGAACTAGGTTTAAAGTTGAGAACGAGCCGTTCCAAAAGGAGAACGGGTCGTTCTGGTTTCAGAACGGGCCGTTCCGGTTTCAGAACGGGCCATTCCAGTTCTAAAACTTACGTAGATTTTTCGAGCCTAGAACGGGCGTTCCACTTTTAGAACGAGCCGTTTCGGGTTAGGTAAGGCAGAATTCTATAAATAGGGGGCTGGGGTGTTGGGAAATGGAGAATTTAAGAGGAGGAGATCCTAGAGAGAGAAATAGGAGAGAGAGAGAAAGAAAGAGAGAGGAGGGGAAAGAAAAGAGGAGAGAGAGGAAGAGAAATCCAGAGAAAGAGGTTCTGCCCTAGTTTCGACTCCTGTTTATCCAAGTAAGGGTAGTACTTATAAGACTTAATCTAGTATGTATGAGCATGATAGGGGTAGTATAACTTTTAATATGCTATTTTGTTTATATGAAGATTTTCATTTGTCTAAGTTGATGGTTGTTTTAGGTGTTTAATTATTTATGTTATTATATTGAATGATTTGACATGGTTATGGAAAAATTTGTATGTAATTATGGAATATGTTATATGTGTGTGGTTTTTAAATCTAATATAACTTATAGGAGTAATGTTATGGTATGGATTAGATCTCTTAGTGTGTTCAGGATATAATCCTTGGAAAAATATGGAATTTGAGAATCCCATGGTGAGGATTCCAATATGGAACTTTTCCAAAAGTTATATAATAAATCACTTAGATGTTAGGTGGATTCTGAAGTACTCCCCTAAGTATTCTATTTGCTACTGGTATGGGGGCAAGGCCGAGTCATACCGATGGATGAAGTGGCCGCGATCACCAGGGTTACGTGACGATGTAATCCAACTGTATATTTTTCATGAGAGGTTAGGTGTGTGACATGGATTGATGACATGTTTCACCGAATCAACACTTGGTTTGGATGTGTTGAGACCAACATTTGGTTTGGATGTGTTGGTTACATCATGGAATTATACAGTGGTGTGATTTTGGTTTAGATGTGGAATATGTATGCATTTGGTATGGATTGTATACATTGATTATGGATTCTTTATTATCATAGAATATGTATGCATTGACGTGGATGTGTATACATTGAATTTTGGATTGATTTATATTTGGCATGGAAATAACTGTTTATAATGTTGTCACTTCTTTGGTATGAATATATACTGTTAATGAAACATCTATTTTAATGATATTTTATTATACTATGGTTGGTTTTATACGTGCTAACCCTTATATTTTAATGATATTTTATTATACTATGGTGGTTCCGTCATATTTGTCCAATGGAAGGGACTTCCAGTGATCGAGGAGAGAAGCTTACATGACGTTTGGGGTGAATGGATGTCGGTGTGCTCCGACCGGCGTGGTGTGAGACGGTCGACCCAGTGTTTGCGTTGTAGGGATGCCCCTTGGAGGAGCTGAGTCGTGGGGAAGGGAGGTGTGATGCCCGAGGGACTGGAACGATTCCTGCGTATGCGTTCGACTCGGCTCGGACGACTTCCACGTGGGATCTTGGTTTCTCAGTGCCGCGTTTTCTTCTCTCAAGGCAGCCATCTCCCTTGCATCCTTCTCCCTCTGCTGTCTCATGGCAATCATCTTTTCCTTCAGTAATCGGACGGTTTCCGAGAGGTCGGTCTCGTCGACCACCTTGACATGATCTTCTTCGAACCGGGGAGGGTCTTCCACTGTCGTAGTCTTTCTCGTGGTGTTTTTTTTCTTTCTTTTCATCATTTTATTTGATTGCTAATAAGCACCCAATCATCCACCATCCAATGACCTTTCAGTCTCACATTCATATCACAAACTCTTACAAGAAATTCAACATTTTAAAAACCAACAATTTTTCTTTAAAATAAAAAAAATCAACACAAATTTGTGGCAGCTAAACATAAAGTACAAGTGAAATTTAATAAAAAAATGATTTAAGTGAGTGAGGCAAATAACAGCAAATGCAACACAAATATGAGCATGTGCACCATTTAAGTGAATGAACTAGTAGAAGCTAACAATGAGTCAATGACTTGACTCAACCACCAAGTGTCAATGTGGTTTGAAAATAACCACGTAACATGCATGCTTGGAGAATTGACACAATAGTGCAGAACCTGAACATGATACTGCTGTAAAAAACTGACTCCATTGTGTATTTTCACCAATAGAAGGTGGAAAGAGCAAAGATGTCAATGCCAATGCTGGTTTTTGCTGTCAGTATCTTCTCCCTGGGAATAATTGCTTTAACATCTCTACCTGTGACATATATCTTTGGTGACTCTTTGACAGATGTAGAATACTATTGGCCCTTAAATTGTGGAATAAAAAGACAATAACACCCTTCACTATTCTTAACTTATACTAAAGAATACATGCAAGCCAACGTGAGCTTCACAAAAAATGTTTCCCCCTTTGTATAGTGTATGAGACATGAGTCTCAGTCCGAGTCCAAACCCAACTCATTTCATAAATAGTTGATTTGAGATATCAGTTTCAGTTACCAGAGTGGGTTATGATTGGCTTCTCGGCAACCACGAGAAGTGTGTTTGAGGTGCATATTCTCAAGTCATTGTCATTCAGTTGAAGCTCACAAATTAGTGATACTAGTTACAACAACGTTTGTAAATTGTATCAGTGAGTCGGCACACACCTTCACAGTTCACACTAACCACTAAGAATAAACAAGCAGAGTGTTGAAACTTGAAACAATTGAGGGAAATGGTGGCCCAAAACCATCAAAGAAGCAGAGTATATTCAACTCATTATTCTAATTAATTATTACTTTCTAATCTCTAACATATATAGCTAGTATACAATTAATTATCCACCACAACACCACTATAAGTTAATGAAATCAATAGTGAATGCACCAATAAACAATAAAGCTGATCTTAATGGATATATATCGGAAAGATGAGGAGACCAAGCATGTGCACTATGCAACATAAGGTTGAAGCAATTGACGGAAAAAATAGATGGGGAGACCAAGTATATGCAGCACAAGGATGAAGCAATTAACCACTTACATTAGATGAAGAGACAGAGAGAGACGAGCCCCGAAAGTTAGACAAAAACTCAGATACGAGCGGCGCTGCCGCGCTGATTGGTGACGCCGGGGCGGAGACGGGAGAGGAGGGCCGCCGTGAGAGTTTCGTCTTTCGTGAGCTGTGTGACAAGGTTTTGTTCCAATTTCCAGAAAAACGAGTTGCGACTCAGCTTTCATCTGAATGTGAATTCTGAACTATTTTTTTTTTTTTTTTTTTTTTTTTTTTTTTTTTTTTTTTACAACTGTTCAAGTGAAAGCACGTCATTTCATGATTTCATCTTTGAGAAAACAAAAATGCATGACTCGTCCGAATCAACCGTTACAAACTTATATGTCCGATTAAAGTTAAGTGAAGATTGGAGATCTCCACGAGAACAACATATCTAGGTTTCTTAATTCAATGAATTTTATAATTTGTTTAATGAATAAGTTATCGAAAATATCTCATCTCTAGGTCTTGTTAATTTTTTTTAAGAAAAGTATTTTAAAGGTTAGTGATTATTCTAGTCTTTTAGTACTCAATGGAATTTCAATATTTGAATATTTCAAATTTTAATTTTTCATAAACTAAATTTTCTTCTATTACTTCTAATATACATTATTCTATCATCTATTAATAATAGTTCTATGGAAGAATATATGTATTCTTTAAAAGTGAATTTTATCATTACCTAAACAACTCTTATATGTATATATCCAACCTTTCTTCTATAAAAATTATTCTTTATTTATTGGTTAATTTTTGAAATTATCTTGTTGGATAATAATTGTAAAGAAGTATTGCCACTTGTTTTAGATAAATTGATGATTATTCACGTATAATTTTTTGACAATAGATAATATTATCTCTTTGATGAAATAAATTCATAATAATCTTTAATTTTTTTTTATTTTCTTCAATATTAGCTGCGTCTTTTAGATCTAACTCTTCTTTTTGTATTTTCCGAAAAACATTATGGATATATCAAAATATTTCCCTTATAATTTTCATCTTCTTCAACTACTTCTAGATATTCTAAATTTTTAGAAGTTATTTTTTTTTATAACTATAAATTAAACATACGAACATAGCATATTTTGAATTGATAATAAACATTTTTAAACTTTATTAAGTAATAAAGCTCATTACTACTTTTGCAAAATAAGTTGAATAATTGAAAATGAGTTTTCTATTCATGAGTAATGGTTACAGAAGTTTGAATTCACTTTTAAGAATTCAACTAAGTCTTAAAGAGACTAGTACACAAGTGAAACTTTTCTAATTCAAAAAATTGTAAATTGCCTCGATAAAAATGACTTTTTTATAAGAGACATAAGAAGTGACTATTTATAAAATCATATTAATAATCAAATTTTTTACATAATTGATTACATTAATAATTTAATAGGTAACTTAAAAGTTTAGGTCATTCTTCACCTATTCTTCAATAATTATATATATAGAGAGTAAAGATTTATCTTTTTTCACTTTATTATCTTCATTATTAACTATTTTTTAACCTTTAGTGCATCTTTCCCACTTATAATTCTGATATGCCTCGATCATAAAACATAATTAATTGAAGATGTCATCAATATTCTATAGTTAATCCTTTGATGTGTAAAAACATAATTCAAAACTACTAAGTAACGGATTTCTCCTTCTTTAATAATTTTTTCTCCCGGCTTGTTTATCGATGAAGTATTTAGTCCCTTGCAAAATACTTAAATGAAGGAATTTTTTTTGTATGCTTTGACATTGGAAAAAGACACTGGCTAGTGGATTTGTAATGAAATAGTAATTTGATATTTCATTGTAGTCTATTATCGTAGACACATCCATGAGTGAAAAATTGTTAGTACTTAGTACTTGATCCCCATAAGGACAAAATGGTTGGCAGATTGCTTAGCGGTGAAATCTGGGTGGATAGTATGTAACATGAACATCATGATTGCGCTTCATTTGTTGAATCGATAGGTGTGACTGCGACCAAAGTGGATGCCTTTTCTTCCACTTCCTCCCCAACACTCCCATTTCCTGCGAGCCCTCCTCCACTGCACCCGCCACACAGACCTCCGTAAAGGTCGAGCCTTGCACTCTCTTATCCTCAGAACCAGTTCCATCTCTGCCACCTACCCTCGCCAACACGCTCTTAGCCTCTACGCCAAGTTCGGCCACATCGCCAAAGCCACCCTCGTGTTCCACACCATCGCCCACAAAGACGTCGTCTCATGGAACTCTCTCATCAACGCCTTCTCCCAGCAACAATCCCACGCCACCTCTCTACACGCCGTGCGCCTCTTCCGCAGCATGATGGCACACAGCACCCTCCCCAACGCCCACACCTTCGCCGGCCTCTTCACCGCCGCCTCCACGCTCTCCGACGCCCGCGCCGGCCTCCAGGCCCACGCCGTTGCCGTCAAAACGGCATGCTCCCACGACGTCTTCGCCGCGAGCTCCCTCCTCAACATGTACTGCAAAACGGGCCTCGTTTCGGAGGCGCGTCACCTGTTCGATGAAATGCCCGAGAGAAACGCGGTTTCGTGGGCCACCATGATTTCCGGGTACGCTTCTCGTGAGCTCGCGAATGAGGCTCTGGAGCTCTTTGAACTCATGCGTCGCGAAGAAGAGGGTGAAAATGAGTTTGTTCTCACTAGTGTTCTTAGCGCTTTGACGAGTCACGTGTTTGTGGACACTGGAAGGCAGGTTCATTCTCTTGCCATGAAAAACGGGTTGGTTTGCATTGTGTCTGTGGGGAATGCTCTTGTCACGATGTATGCGAAATGTGGGAGCTTGGAGGATGCGCTCAGGACTTTTGAGTTGTCGGGGAATAGGAATTCGATCACGTGGTCGGCTATGGTCACTGGCTTTGCGCGGAGTGGGGATGCTGATAAGGCTTTGAAGCTGTTTTATGATATGCATCACTCTGGTGTGTTTCCTACTGAATTTACTCTTGTTGGGGTGATCAATGCTTGCAGTGATGTTTGTGCTATTGTGGAAGGGAGACAAATGCATGGTTATTCCTTGAAGTTGGGGTATGAATTGCAGTTGTATGTTTTGTCGGCTTTGGTGGACATGTATGCGAAATGTGGTAGCATAGGGGATGCTCGGAAGAATTTTGAGTATATACAGCAACCTGATGTTGTTCTTTGGACTTCCATAATAACGGGGTACGTGCAAAATGGGGATTATGAAGGTGCTTTGAATTTGTACGGCAAAATGCAGATGGGGGGAGTTATCCCCAATGACTTAACTATGGCGAGTGTCCTAAAGGCTTGTTCTAGCCTGGCAGCATTAGATCAGGGAAAGCAAATGCATGGCAGGATTATTAAGTATGGTTTCAGCTTGGAGGTTCCGGTTGGAAGTGCTCTTTCTGCCATGTACGCCAAGTGCGGAAGTTTGGATGATGGGTATCGCATCTTTTGGAGGATGCCTGCAAGAGATGTGATTTCGTGGAATGCAATGATATCTGGACTTTCTCAAAATGGTCACGGCAATGAAGCCTTGGAGTTGTTTGATGAGATGTGCTCAGAGGGAACGAAGCCTGATAGTGTCACGTTTGTGAATCTTCTCTCTGCTTGTAGTCATATGGGACTGGTGGACAGAGGGTGGGTTTATTTTAAGATGATGTTAGATGAGTTTAACGTTGCTCCAACTGTAGAGCACTATGCTTGCATGGTTGATATCTTGAGCCGTGCTGGTAAACTCAACGAAGCAAAAGATTTCATTGAATCAGCAAGGGTTGATCATGGTCTGTGTTTGTGGCGCATATTATTAGGGGCATGTAGGAACCATCGTAACTACCATCTTGGGGCTTATGCTGGAGAGAAACTAATGGAGTTAGGCTCACCGGAATCATCTGCTTATGTGTTGTTATCAAGTATATATACAGCTTTAGGAAAGTGGGAAGATGTGGAGCGTGTCAGGGGAATGATGAAAGCCCGAGGGGTGACTAAAGAACCTGGTTGTAGCTGGATTGAGTTGAAAAGTCTGACTCATGTATTTGTTGTTGGAGACAGCATGCACCCGCAAATTGATGAAATACGGTTGGAGTTAAAACTGTTAACTAATTTGATGAAAGATGAAGGATATCAACCACTTTTGGATTCATTGCCTCCTGAAACTGTCAGTGATGATTTGAAAGGTATTTTTTATAAATGTTCCCATTCTTTACCAATCAATATTTCCAATCAATCAATAGAGTGATTTTCTTTTTTTATTGTATGGGTTGGGGAGTGGTTTAATTTCTACATCTGGAAAAGGTATCTTAGTCACTGTATTGAATTGAGATAAATACAAAGTGTATCTGAACCAGCGTTTTCTTGCCTTTAAACTTATTTGCTCCACCTGCTTTTGTTTTGTGATATATTGGTTTTAATTGAACCAGTTTCAGCTTTTATTCTGATTCTTATTTTTTTAATTTTCACTTTATTTTCATTTCCCCTTATTCATGTAGATCAAGAAGGCAGCCATGAGATAGAACCTCGTGTTTGTGTTGGCTTGTAGCAAGCTTGGGGAGATGATCAACTCATGCGCAATGCAAGACTATTGTTCATTGTATTCAGAAAACTCTTTCGTGGTAAACCTTTTATATCAATACTTTGATTGAGAACTTTGTGAGAAGATTGCTTTTACATTTATTTTATATTTTTCTGTGAAGATTTTTTTTCCCCATTTATTTTACCATATTTTTAAGTACATTTAGAAAAAAAGTTTCCTTATGTTAAAGAATGTATGTTACGATTGCTTCCTCCAATCTGAAATCCTGGAAGTTGTTATAACCACATTTTTGTTTTCTATCATTTGTTTATGGTATAATGTTTTCTCCCTTCATAAACATCTAAACTTAATAGTGGAATATTCCTTTCCAGGATGCATTTCACCGGAGTATTGCAATTAGTGCATTCATGTGGCTCTCTCGTGCTTTTTGCTGATTGCTTAGCCGAGAGGATTGCCACCCCTCAAGAAGGAAGGTAATCGACGTGCCAATGATTTGAAATCTGGCCTATAGCCAAGATTTTCAAGATGTGATTGATAAGAATGAATAATTAGTTTATTAGTCATGCTGTTTATGGGAGAAAATACTGACGTGAATCACAATCCAGAACCAGAAAGAGGTCAGTAGTCATTTTATCCAGTTAGGTCAATCAGCGGGAGCAGACAACAAGCTAACAAATCATACTTGCTTGAATTCCAACTATATAATGCGTTGGGTCATTTGTACTACAGAGTGAGGCAACTGTATGTGCTGGCAATATCTTAGACTCCAAGGTGTTCTTTTGGTTTGTTTAAATTTGGCCTAGCTCATATAGAACAAAAAGAAATGCTAAGCTCATAACTGGAATTGCTATTTTTTTGATCTACTGCTAAATATTTCTAGTTTGATCTGCTAGATGACCTGATAATATCTGTTTGACAATGTACTGTGAGTTTTCAGTTGAGAAGCATAAATAATTGAACTGACATATGTAATAAATATATCTTCATTTGATTTCTTTTTTATCCTGACATATTTTAGTTTTTACCGTAATTTGGTGTTTGTGTGCATAGATATGCATTTGATAAATAAGAAATAAGAAATCCAGGACATCCTATGTATTGATTGTTGATAAGATTTTACCTTCACATAACTGTTGGGAGATAATTGCAAGACCATCATTGCATAACCGTCATTTCCCTTAACGCGCCACTTGCACGTTTTCGAAAAATGAACAGTTACGACACATGGCATCTTAACAGGCAGACGTACGCGAAAGGTCAGTTTCCCCCAGCGAGCTCGGTCTTAACTCCTCGACCTACGGTCTTCGGAGCTCGGGGGGCAAGTGTACTGTCCGTATGCGAAGCCGAGCTCCGAGCTCGGCATCACAGCACAAGAAGAGGTCGGGCACGTGCTACGCGACGTCAGCTCGACATTTAAGCAGATCATAACTGATCTCGAGGGATCTCGCTTCGGACGAGATCCACTATCTAATCTTATGATATCTTATCTCAGGCCCAAGGCCCAAAGCAACCCTAAATCACACCAAGGTACGTGCATTACTTATACGAGATTCATACTCAGCAAAAGTCTTATGCAGACAAGAGGAGGAAACCTTTGGAGTTTTTAGAGGGAGAACATGTATTTTTGAAGGTAACTGCTACCACAGGTGTGGGAAGAGCTATCGAAGCTAAGAAGTTGAATCCTAAGTTTATTGGGTCGTATCAAATTCTCAAGAGGATTGGACCAATGGCATATCAGATTGCATTATCTCCATTCCTGTCTAATCTGCATGATGTGTTCCATGTTTCACAACTGATGAAGTATATTCACGATCTGAGTCATGTCTTGGAATCAGAGGCAGTGCAAATTAAGGAGAATTTAACTTTTGAGAAACAGTCAGTTTCAGTGATAGATAAGAAAGTTAAACAATTGCGGGGTAAATCTATCAATTTGGTAAAAGTTATTTGGGATGAGGTTACTAATGAAGCCACTTGAGAGTTGGAAGATAGGATGAAGGATCAATACCCATATCTCTTTTTAAGTAAGTGAATTTTCGAGGATGAAAATTTTTGTTGTTAGGGAGAATTGTAATACCATTTTTTTTATTATTATTTATTAATGGCATTTTCGTAATTTTTTTTAAGGTATAGGGTGTTTTGGTAACTTGGAATGGGCTGTTCCAAAAGCGGAACGGGCCGTTCCAAGCACCAAAAGTGAACTAGGTTTAAAGTTGAGAACGAGCCGTTCCAAAAGGAGAACGGGTCGTTCTGGTTTCAGAACGGGCCGTTCCGGTTTCAGAACGGGCCATTCCAGTTCTAAAACTTACGTAGATTTTTCGAGCCTAGAACGGGCGTTCCACTTTTAGAACGAGCCGTTTCGGGTTAGGTAAGGCAGAATTCTATAAATAGGGGGCTGGGGTGTTGGGAAATGGAGAATTTAAGAGGAGGAGATCCTAGAGAGAGAAATAGGAGAGAGAGAGAAAGAAAGAGAGAGGAGGGGAAAGAAAAGAGGAGAGAGAGGAAGAGAAATCCAGAGAAAGAGGTTCTGCCCTAGTTTCGACTCCTGTTTATCCAAGTAAGGGTAGTACTTATAAGACTTAATCTAGTATGTATGAGCATGATAGGGGTAGTATAACTTTTAATATGCTATTTTGTTTATATGAAGATTTTCATTTGTCTAAGTTGATGGTTGTTTTAGGTGTTTAATTATTTATGTTATTATATTGAGGAATTGTTAACACTGAAGTCATACCTTTTTTGTGTACAATTTTTTTTAATCTTTTTTTTGGTGTACAATTGTTACACTAAAGTTAGAACCTTGAACTAACAAGATATAACATGGTTAGTAAATAATCGTGTCCCTTATCTTTGAGTATGTGATTAGGAAAAAAATATTTATTATAAAAAGTTAATCTTCAAAATGAACTTCAGTATTTCGAGAAATTAGTCCTAAACTGATTAAGGAATGTCATTATTTATATATATATATAATAAAAAGTTAGAACATAAGATCTCATTTAATTGCTTTATCTACTTAACAAAGAGAAAAAAAAATATTTCAGTCACCATAAACTATATTTTTTTTTTACAAATATGTAATATAAATTTTAATTTTATCCTAATAAATCCTTGAACTTTATCCTATTTTAAAAATAGACATTAAACTTTGATTTTTTTCAATTAGTCCTTAAACTTTACTTTAAAAAAAATAGCATCTTTAACATTAAATTCATTCTAATTGATATTAAAATTTGACAATTTATTATTTTTAAAAATATTTTTATTTTTAAATTAGAATTAAATTATTTATCTTAAATATCAATGATTCAAATCAATGAGTTAAATACAAGTGATTAATATACTGAATCTAATATCAAATTATTCAAAAAGTACTAAATTTAATCTTTGTCTTAAGACACCAATCTGAAATCGAAAAAATCAAGAAAAAAGTCAATCATTTACTAATATTTTTTTTGTTATAATTATTTTTCAAATATAATAAAAATTCGAGTTTAGAAAGAAAAAAAATAATTATGAAAGTAATATGATAAATATTTATTTTATTTTTTAATTTTAAATTATATGATATTTTAATATATAAGAAAATAAAATTGATATATATATATATAGAGAAGATAATGAATAAGTGTGATTTTAAAATTAATAAATGATTGATATTTCTTCCATCGTAGTAATTTAATTTCAATATGATATAAGAGACTATTTACAAAAAAAATAAATAATTACGATAAAATCAAAATTAAAATATTTATTTGTAAAAATAGTAAAGTTTAAGGATCAACTATAACAAAATTAAAGTTTATGTTTCATGGTGTTTATTTGTTAATAGAACAAAGTTTAAAGATAAATTAAAATAAAATTAAAACTTGTAATTTTATTTATAAGAGAGAACGAGTTTAGGAGGACTAATTATTTTTTGCTTTAATTAATGAAAAATCCCAATTATAAAAAAAAAACTAGTATTTTTGCCTATGCAATACACAAATATGTTTACTATGTAATAAATTGTATAATAAATTATATATAAATAAATACTATATTTGAATATATAAATCACATTTAAAATTGTATAAATAAATATTTTAAAACATATAAATTATATTTTAATAATGAATAATTTATATTGTAACAAACTTTTTTATATTGATAACTTATTTTAAAATATTGATAGTTAATATATAAATAATTGTGATAAATAAAAGCTAAATTAGATAAGAAGTTAAAAAATTTCTAAAAATCCTTATTAAAAAAAAGTTTCTAAAAATATTCTCACAAAATAAAATTTTGTATTTAATATATAATTAAATTATGTTTTTAGTCCTTTATCTTGTTATTTTAAATTTACTTTAATTCTTTATTTATTAAAATATTTTCCTTTATCTTTTATATTTTGATTGATTTATATTTTTCAAAACAATAGTCATTTTTTATTTTGTGACATATTTTTTAATCAATCAAAATTTTAAAAATTTTGTGGATTGGTATGAATTTTTGAGAAACCCAACTTTTTTTTTTTTTGGTGATTCTAACTTTTCTTAAAATATTTAGTTATTTATAGCGTCTTTATTTTTACAAATTGATTTCTTTTTATTTATAAAATTCAAATTTAATAAGTTTATTTGAAAATAATTCTAATAAAAACGTTCTCAATAATTTTAAAAACATTATATGTGATTGGTCGTATAATCCTCGTTATATAGATATTTATTTATGAGAGATCTTTAATTTAATTAAAAGTGTAAGAAAAATTGTTAAAATCATTTTTTTTTGATAAAAAATAATTGATGAAATTCTGAATGGAATATGTATTATAATTTTTTTTATGGGGAGAGTATTAAATATGTAGGAGGTGGACGAATTTCTTCATATATATATATATATATATTATATTAATTTATTTATTTATACTATTTTAGTATTTTCATTTATTTACTAATAAATAAGGATTCACTAATCTTGTTACATATGAATCTAGGTAAAAAAAGAAATATAGGTTTAATAACTAAAAAATAAGATTCTAAAAAAATATTCTTTGAATATTAAAATTATGTATTGAATTTAAATTATTGTATTCATAATTCAAAAAGTTTTTTTAATGATTGTTGAAGAACTAAAATAAAAAATAGAGTATAGTTATGATAATTATTATATAAGGTGAATTGAATATTAAAATTGATTTACGATGTAAAAATTATAATATTATATTTATTTATATAAAAATTATAAAATTGAAGTGATATTTAAATTTAAAATGATTATAAATACGATGAAAATTATATAAAACTTCATGAATAATTAAAAAGTAATATGAAAATAGATTTTTAAAAAAATTTAATTATCTTTTAGATTTATTTTTATGTAATTTTTGTCATTTTTATGACACTTTTTGATTTGATTGTATTTATGTTCGATAATTTTCATGTAATTGAATATTAGGAGATGAGTTTTATGTCTTAAATCAGTCAAAAATAATTTAAAATTATGTCTCAAAAATAAAAATAATTATTATTAAAAAAAACTAAATTAACTTAAAATAAAAAAATAAAGAATTAAAATAAATATTTTAATTATTCAAATTTCAAATTTGGGTTAAGTTGCAAATACAAAAGTCACAGTGTGAATGTCTATTTGGGGCCCAAATCGGAAGCAGGCAGTGGATGCGTGCTAGTTGCTAGTTTATAGTACTGAAACGAGGGTCGTTGTTGCCATCTTTCTCGCTCCCACGTTTTCATTTTGCAGTTCAAACATTCTCGTGCTCTTCCTCTGGTAACACTTCTTCTTGCTACCTTTGCTTCATTTTCTTATGCTATTTCTTTTGTTATAAATATAATAATTTTATGCTTTATGCCATTTGTTTCGCTTTCTCCAAACGAGATGTTGATTGTGCAGTTCAATAAAATCTTATGCTTTAAGCTTAGATGTTCCCAATGGTCTTTCGATATTTCCCATCCATTTGTATCAGAGTTGTTTCGGTCTTTTATGCTGTTTCAATTATAAATCCTTGTAGCTTGTTTTTCTAAGTTCTGACATGTAAGTTGCCAGATAAGAAGAAACCCCCCAAAAGTATAGATAACAGTGATTAGAAAAATTAGTTAAAACTTAATGAAATGGAAATTGCATCTGAAGCCATATGCAGAAATTAGATATTTTCTGAAAGAGTCTCTAATATAGCATAGGATTTGTTCATTTCTGTATTAATAAATCAAATTGTTGTTTAGGTTTGTGGCTTCATGCTGGTGTCTTTGGTTTAGCCATAGTTGTTCCCTGGCCTGGTCAGTGATTCTTGAGTCTTGAGCCAGTCCATTTTCTGGGTTGTTAAGCATTCCGTATTTTAAAACATTGCCTTCTACCAGTCATATTCTTGTCACTTCTAAAAAATGGAAAACTCAGATACAATGCTGACAACTTCATCCCTGCCTCCACCACCTCCAGTAGCTGCGGAGGAGCCAGAGCCCAAGAAGTTGAAGATGTCCACCACGACTTCTGATGATGAAGAATGCACAACTGCCACAGGCACCAAGATAAGATACAAGCGCCGTAAGGTAGCTATTTTCTTTGCTTACTGTGGTGTTGGCTATCAGGGTATGCAGAAAAACCCTGGTGCAAAGACCATTGAAGGCGATCTAGAAGAAGCTTTATATATGTCTGGAGCTGTACCTGAACAGGATCGTGGAATTCCTAAACGGTACGACTGGGCTCGCTCAGCTAGAACAGATAAAGGAGTTAGTGCTGTTGGTCAGGTTGTCTCAGGCCGATTCTATATTGATCCACCTGGCTTTGTTGACCGCCTTAATTCAAATCTTACATCTCAGATAAGGATCTTTGGTTACAAGCGTGTGACAGCTTCTTTTAATGCCAAGAAGTTCTGTGACCGGAGGAGGTATGTCTATCTCATTCCTGTATTTGCTCTTGATCCAAATTGTCATCGTGATACTGTCATGGCTAGTTTGGGATCTGGAAATGAGCTTGTTAAGTGTTTGGAGTGTTCTGAGAGAGGCCGAAAGGTGGTAGGATTAGTTGGTAATCGTAAGCACAATCTGGAACTAGAAGCTATGGATATTGATGCTGGTATTTCATCAAACACAAATGCTGTGGTTGATTCTGCAGTTACAGGTGATGTGGAGCTTTCTTTGAGCAAAGGTGATGATAATCATTTAAATGAGGAATTTGGGAATGATACTACGGGTGACTTGAGCTCTAAAACTGATCTTGAGACTGTGATTCCTGATTGTGAAGAGGGTACTCCTTTGAATGGTGAATCTGTGAAAAATTCAGACATCCTTGAGGAAGAAAAAGTGAATGGAGAGGATGAGTCTACCGATGGAAGTGGGTTCTGTTATGGTGAGAAGGAGAGGGAGAGATTTAATAAAATTTTAAAGTATTTTGTAGGGACTCATAATTTCCATAACTTCACTACTAGAACAAAAGCTGAGGACCCTGCTGCTCGTCGATACATTATTTCATTCAATGCAAACACCACTCTTGTAGTTGAGGGTATGGAATTTGTAAAGTGTGAGGTTGTGGGACAGAGCTTCATGCTTCATCAGATACGGAAGATGATTGGGTTGGCGGTGGCAATCATGAGAAATTGTGCACCAGAGTCACTTATTGATAAAGCTTTGCAGCAGTGAGTACAACTTCTATTGTTTGGGTTATCTATAAGTTTCTATTTGAAATTCAGTGTGATTCTCGTTGGATGTATTTTTTATTTTTTCACTTTTGTTTTCCTAAATGCAGGGATGTTAACATTAATGTGCCTACTGCCCCTGAGGTTGGATTATATTTGGATGAGTGCTTCTTTTCTTCATATAACCAGAAGTGGAAAGATAGCCATGAAGAATTGTCAATGAAAGATTATGAGAAAGAAGCTGAGGAGTTCAAAATGAAGTACATATATTCTCATATCTCTTCCACGGAACAGAAGGAAGGAACTGTTGCTCTTTGGTTACATTCTTTGAACCATATAAATTATCCAGATCTGCGCATTGTCAATGAGGAAGCAATCCCTGATAACAAGGGAGCCGATATTGAAGAAGCCGTAACTAATAACAAGAGTGCAGATGTCGAAGAAACCATCAATTATAACAAGAGAGTTGATGTTGAAGAAGCCATCAATGATAACAAGGGAGCTGATATTGAAGAAGCCATCACTGATAACAAGAGAGCTGACATTGAAGAAGCTGTCAATCATAACAAGAGAGCTACCACTGAAGAAGCCATCAATGATAACAAGAGAGCTGATATTGAAGAAACCATCACTGATAACAAGAGAGCTGATATTGAAGAAGCCATCACTGATGACAAGAGAGTTGATATTGAAGAAGCCATCACTGATAACAAGTGTTGATCTTGAAGTTGTGACTGTGTTCTATGTTTGTCATTCAATGTGAGCTCTTTCTTTCTTATATTTTCACTTATTCTTATTGATTATTATTCACCTAACACCCTGCATTGCAACATATACAAATACACAAGATCTCTGTGTGTCCATCACTTGGTAAAGACAAAAAATAAAAGAATATTTCCGTTATAAAGTTTAAACCATGACTAAGCAATGACCATATATTTGTGCTATAAATTGAGTTCCACTGTGAAAGAAACACCTATATAGCACTTGCAAATATATGACTTACGAAATTTGTTTGCCTCTTTCATCTTGTATTTATGTAGCATTTGGACATTTCATCTACTATTTATGATCTTGTCGGTTAATACAGGTTTTGTTGCAATGTCAATTGTCAACAGGTGATTTCAACTTGGCATGCTTTCTATATATATTTTATTGCGCCCACAACTAAATGCATTGTTGTATATTTTCAACGATTATAGACAAAGAATCATTAATGTTAAAGAAGCACATAATACCTAATTAGAAGTCATTCATTAATACAAGTTAACAGTTCCTTTTGCTCTCTGGAAGGTTGTCAACGACATCATACAATGATTTTAAACAAATTTACTAGAAAATGTCGTGGATATGTTGTCTGTGCATGCATTGAAACTGATAGTAATTCTATGGATATATCTTCCAAGTTTACTTACATAAGCAAGATTAGGCTGATGTTTATTCTGAGAGTATTTTTTATATGATATTTGTGATACTGTATACCTTATAGAAAGGTGTGGAATTTTAAATCTTTCTTTGTGAAAAGTAATTTATATTTTTCATCATCCTATTATTATATTTGATCTGCCCTTCAATCTCCTTTTCTTCGTTCTTAAGTTAGTTATTCTTTGATTCGAGAATATTGATTATAGTGTAGGAAAACATTGTGTTTTTATTTTGATATCTCATTACCAGCATTCCCCTTAATTCACACCAGGAAAAGAGGCGGTATGTGCTTCTTTATTTGAAGAAAAAATTAGTGGGTGATTACTCAAAGAATGTGAGAAAAGTATACATAACAAGAAAAACTAATAGAAGTATAGATACCACTGTTCTTATTTTAATTGAAAAATTTACGGGGAAGTTGTTTAAAATTAAAAAAATTAATAGAAGCAATTAAGCTTTTATGCATTCCAAATTTTCAATCTAGACACTACCTCATATTTTCAAGCTGTGTACTTCCCCAAATCTCTGATACTATTCATATCTGCGTCTCATATTTTGATTAGGGATCTCGTCAACACAGCAAAATTTGTTAACAAGCAGAACGGTGAAAAAATTGTTTTGCTTTCAGATTTTTGGTCTCTGAACTGAACAAACACTAAAGTGACGTGTTTAGGTAAGTGCTTGTAGAATTAATTTTGAATAAAATTGATTTTGAAATGAAGTGATTCATATTTAGTTTTAGTCCTAGAAGCATGTTTGGTGTATACATTGTGCAATTTTTTCACTTCACTTAAAACTATTTTTTATCACTTTAGGTCAAACCGACGTTTGAAAACAAAAACAATTTTGTCTAACAGTAAGTAAACATACATATCTTTACTAAACGTTTCCTTAAATTCACACAGAAAACGCAGTCGCAACCTTTGAGCTATTTGTTGTGGCCATAGCAGCATGCAGCAGCTTGAAATGCTTTGCAGCACCACCACCACCACTAAAACCATTCAAACTAAGACTCACCATACCTAGTTCAATCTTGTCAAGAAATAAAAGAATTGCCCGCGTGCAGAGTTGTGAATTTTGCTGTGTTTTTGTTATTAAATCTATGGTCTTTATTCACAACAAACACCAAAAATTACTTTTTATTCTATACGATGAAAACAACATTCAGATGAAATTTTATTTTGTTTCACTTTCTGAAAATTACTGTTTTCATGTATACACATGACCACTCCATCATACAGGCTCATCTGAAAAATTTTATTAACAGTAAATCCACCAGTTGTTTCGTCTTTTGAGAGTAAAAAATGATTTACTGATACATAAAGTACAGGCATTGTAATCCAAATACAGGATACCAAACATGTCAACCATTGAAAGGATAACAAGAAAATAACCAGGATATGTAAAGTTTAAATTAAGCTCTTATTCGATAACTTATTACATGAGTTTGTGCCATATATTTATCTTGAAACTTATTGGAATAAGCTAAAAAGAATTTACAGCGGTCATAAATTATTTTTATAAGCTTATATAAACTCTATAAAAAGCTTTCGAACACCCTCAAACATTCCTCATCTGCAAAGAAGAAAGGGTAATACTAGTGCAATACTCAGTATGGACAACTTACTCATACATGAGAAACAAAAATTAATTAAATCTGAATGTTACATGTTCAATCGTTAAGCCCCTACCCAGATGATATCTTTTGGTTAAACATTGTCTATAGAACAACAATGCGAACAATTAAAATCTGCCTCTTGCCAAATAAATATGTTATTAACAGAACTCCTTCCAAAACATGATTAACGACAATGTTGTGCATGTAACAGAACCAGTAAATCCATCACAGTAAAAGCCAATGTTATCTTACATAACCACAAACTAAAATTCAGTACATTCAACAAGAATAAAACAGTAGAGAGTGGAGACACTCTATACCAGTAACCACAATCAGTTTCTCCCAAGAGGAAGAGACCTACAAGTAAATGTCTCTTTAAAGTCAGACTTCTTCGAAGAAGTGAAAATGGACGCATACACATCCTTTGTAGCATTCGCCGGCGCCTTATCAGAAGCCTTGAAGCGCTTCGGAGCACCACCACCATTACCATTAGCAACCTTTCCATTTCCTTCCACCTTAGCAGAAACCCTCTCCACAGCCTTAACATCAACACCATGCTTAGTACCACTCAACCTCGTTCCTTCCAAACCCACAGCATCATCATTCTTAACCTTCCTATTCTTCTTCTCCCTAACCTTAGCCCTCTCCTCCTGCATCCTCTCCCTCAAAACCGCCACCTCCTCATCACTCCCATTGATCACAATCTTGTCCACGTCAGCATCATACTCCTTGTGACAAACCAAACACGCCGAGGACTTAACCTCCCTCAGAGCCTTGGCACTCAACACATGCCCACAATTTCTCAGCGCGAAAAACCTATACTTTCCGTTCAACTCAAGCCCCGCAACGGGGCACTGAAACCTTGCCCCATCGTCAGAGCCAGGAATTGCATCAAGCTGAATGTTAATCATATCTTTCAAACCCTTTATGTGTCCAAATTCCTTTGGAAGCTTCTTCCCCAACAAAGCTTCCACCAGCGCTTCCTTGTTGAAAATATTCCCCAATTTATCAATCACGCAGGGTTCCCTGAGGGGCTCGTTGGAGAGGGCGCAATTGTGCCACTTCGAGAGGCGCTGTTCGTTGGGGTCCACCTTGTCGGGCTTCTTCTCGGAGTACATGTGGAGGTAGCAGTCGCGGGACTCGGCGCCGGTAGCGCCGCCGTCTCCGCCGCCGCCGAGGAGGCGTGTGCGGAGGGAGAGGGTGGAGAGAGGGGGTAATTGGGAGAGAGGGGTTTGGTCGGAGAGGGGCTTGCCATTGAGGGTGAAGTAGTGGAATTGGTGAGATTGGGGGAAAAGGGAGTGTTTGAGATCGGAGAGGGTTTCGTGGTTGGTTGTGAATTGAGGGGAAATTCGGAGGTCCGGTGACTGCAGCAGGATTTGGAAGGATTTAGGATGCATTGTGAAGGATTTGGAGATTGAAGGAGTGTGATCGATTCGGGATTTTCAATGGGCGGAACCCTAGATGTGGATGATATATGATCCCTGGCGGTAACACACTTTCACGACGGATTTCGTTGAGGAATGGAGGTATATCCGTACAAGTCGATAACCTGCCTTTGATTTTATTATTTTTGTTTTTAATCCTCTAAATTATATATATATATTTTTAGATACTGTATTTTATTTAAATAAAAAAAAATTATAGTTATAAGAAAATTAGATGATTTAATATACGTGCAAGAATTATAATAGAAAAGAGAGTTCGTTAAGCTTTTTTTTTTTTTTTTTAAAGAAAAGTTGTAATTATTAAAGAAGATGTAAGAATGATAAATAAAGATATTAATAAATAAATAAAAGTTATGGTTATTAAAATTTAAATATATTGTAAAAAAAACACGAACCAAAAAATAATATATTTTTTTATTTTTGAAAATTAGTTATAAGTATAAATAAATTACAAATCAATAATAAAGAGATATTATATGTTTGTATAGTTTTTTAAAATAAAAATTAACAAAAAAAATGAAATAATTAATTAAGTGATTGTGTGTGTTCTTTTTAGTATATAAGATGTAAAAAAGAAAAAAAAAAGAAATATTAAAAAAAATTCATGAAATCAACTAAACTCGTAAACGAATCAAACCAATAGTATCAGCTAGTAACAAGGAGTTAAAAAAATCAAACTCAACTATTAAACTCTTAAGATCCTCCTAAGACGATGTGTCTTTTTTGGCCAAAGCATCTGTACACATATTGTCATTTCCAATAATATGTGACAGAGAGCAATTTCAACTATTTAGAAGACTTTGAATTTCTACTAACTCATTTGTGTAACAATGAGTAATGGGATAACCCTGATTTATAATATAAACAAGAGTAAGCGAATCTGAATAACAACATATCCTTCGAAAACCTTTCTCTCAACACAAATGTAATCCATGCAACAACACCAACATCTCCACATGTAATACCCATGTCTCATGAATCCAAGACGAACTACACAAGCGTCCCATGCAACCAAATAGAAATGAACTCGCATCATCCCTACACAAACACACCAAATAATGGTGTGTTTGGATGAAGAATTTCACAAATTCAAGGAATTTTAAATTCTTGATATTTGAATTACTTTGATTTCAATTTCCATCATTCTTAAAATATTTTGTTTGGATAAGTCAATTCAAATTTCTCAAATTTTAAATTGTTGGGTTAAATATGATAATTTGATTCTACCATGATAAATTTGATTTTAAAAATATATTTATATGTTGAGATTCTTAAATTAAATTTTATAAAATTAAATATTAGCTAATTTCTAAATATTTAATAATTTTAAAAATTAATATTAGATAATATTTAATAATTTTAAAAATATTTTTAAATATTCAATAATTAAAAATATGAAGAGATATGAGATAAGATAAAATATATAAGTGAAATATGAAGAAAAAAAATGAGGAATTTCAAATTCTTACTTTTTTGGGAGAATTTGAAATTCTACTATTTCAAAGAATTTCACAAATGCTTGAATTTCAAATTCTTTATAAATTCTCCATCCAAACAAGGTATTTCACCTCAAAGAATTTGAAATTCTTCAAATAAATGAATTACTCCATTTAAATTCCCCATCCAAACACACTATTATGACTTCTCCAAACACACTTCCATCAACATGTAGAGCAATAAAACACAAAAGGTCTTGAACATGCCACAGCCAAAGGAATTATTAGCATACCAACAATTCTAGGGACCTCAAACGCAACACATAACCATCTCTAAAGAGAAAAAATTTGTTGGTAGATAGCCTAAGCCTCCATGCTACACTGTTCAAGCACCAAAAGATTTCGGCTATACCAAATCCACCAAAGGATAATGAAGAATAAAACACTCTCAACGCCTCTATTGTTCCAGCCAAGTCATTTAATGAACCCCAAGAAAATTGTTCCTCACATAGACCAACCCCAAACATTGCCAAACTCTCAAGACTATAGAAAAGGCAATGTTCCATAGTTTCAACAACTTTATTACACCTTAGGCAAGAAATTGAGATGGGTAACCCACAATGAGCTAATACATCACACGGCGGGATGACCTGATGACTAAGTTGCCATATAAAGTCCTGTACATCCAGAGGGAGTGTTAACATCCAAATCCACTTCCATGAAAAACCATGCATTGACGTTTGATTCCTCTTTAACCAATCATACACCAATTTCACAATATAAACACCTAGGACATGGCACCTCCATATCCATAGATTTGACACACCAACATTAAAACGATTGTGTGTGATTATTCAAGGATGAGGGGTTGTAATATGAAGAAATAAATTTTGCAAAAAATAACATAATAATTATTTTTCTAAGATTTATGTATGAATCATATGATACATTATTGGTGTGCATGTTTTGTAAAATTGACATGTACCAAAAAAAATCTTATTGTGTAATTAAAAAAATGTTTTATAGTTAGATCGAAATTACGATTTTTTAAAATTTGGAATCAAAATTACCTGATTAAAATAAAAAATCAAAATAAAAAATAAAAAATTACATGCAAAAATTACAATTTAATCTTTTAAGATTAGTTTGGTATTTAAAATGTGATAAAATGAGGTGATATAATTATTGTAATCTTAAATAATTCATTGTTTATGATGCCAATAAAATATTATAATTATTGTGTTAAGTTGGTGTAGTATATATATCTTATTTTAAGGGTGAGTCGAATTAGGATATATAATTAAAGTTTATCTATCTCTTAGCATATCATACTTTTATCTTAACTTATTTTTATAGCATTTTTTATTATATTCTAACCACTAAATGAACCCTAAAGTGATATATAAAGAAGAAAATAAAGGGTAAATATAGAGAATAACTCCTTTAAAGTTACTTAGGGGGGTGTATTAGATTAGGATTTTAAAGGACTTTTTTAGTTAAAAAAAATCTTGCGGATTTTAAAAGACTTTGCAGGATTTTCATGATTTTTAAGATTTTGCAGGATTCTGCAAGACTTAAAATCAGGATTTTAATAGATTTTGCAAGACTTTTAAATAAGGATTTTAATGGATTCTGTGGAATTTTGTGAATTTTGTAGAATTTTCGTGGATTTTTGACATTTGATAAGATTTCAAAAAAATATTCATACATTCAAATTTAAAAAGAGTCAAAGACAAAAAATTAAAAAAAAAATAATGTCCAGATAAATAATAATAATAATAATAATAATTCTCCATAATAACCTATCATATTAAATAGCATTCACCCACATATCCATGGCTCCACAATATCTTATGTTAATTTTTTTAAATATAAAAAATTATAATTTCACAATATAAAAATAATAAAAAAATTCTTAGTAAAAAAA